TACTACTGTGCCATGGTATAGGTTTATTATTATTTATCCTGTTCCATACCCAAGTGTTCTTTTGACAAAAGTCTTAAGACATTCTCTAATGCTGGAATGTGCTCATGTACAACTGATTCAAGACTTGTCTCTCTGACATTCTTTTAATTCTCTTTGTCATATAGATGTATGTTGAAATTTGCCAAAATATCTTCCAACTTAAAATATATTTTTCTGTTGTGTTCTAAATGAATTATTCAGTACACTCTCCCAACTTGGTAAGCCTCTCTTCTCAAACTCCAAATTAGAATTCTGCCTCTTAGGTGTTTGACGTTTTGTTATTTTGAAGATCATTGAATGGTTATTTTTCAAACCTGTTCTTTTTCATTTTTTTTTTATTACCTTGCTTGTTTCACATTTGCTTGTTCCTTTTGGTAAAAGTTCTTTCATTTACCTCTTTGAGTATGGCATATACTATTTTAAAAGTTTGCTTCATAAAATTAATTTCATTTTAAATGAATTAACATTATGATTATTTTATTTATATTCTTTCTTAGAATTTTTTTGTTTTAGAGTTGTAGTGTAACCTGAATTTATTTCTCCCTCATTCTTTCCATCTCTATATCTATGTGGCTACTGTTAAGCCCCACCTAATAGTTTCATAGCTGTTCTTCTTCTCAGCCCTTTGTTCATTACTAGAACTTACATAGCATTTTGAGGTTTCTGGCTGGATAACAATGAGGAAACCATAGGTTAAGTCGCCAGCTCTGCTAAAGCTACAGTGTGTTCTTTGGTTTCTGTTGGAAGTCATGATCTCAGGTATTGATTAGTACAACTTTACCTGTTCCCAGTGCTGAGGGCTAGGGAGAACAGAAGTTGATGAATGAGGTTTGAGCCTGGATTTGTCTCTTTGGTTTTCTATATTTAGAGTTTTATTTACTTTTGGTAACTTTGAAGCAGCATCAAAGTTGATCTGAAGCCCTAAAAAGATCCCTTATTACTTTCTCCACTGCCACACTCTAGTTCTGGCCACCACCACCTCTTGCCTACATAACTACGCTCCCAGCTGTCTCTTGACATTCTTCTCTCCAAACCATTCTTCCTACCAAAGTCAAAGGGATTGCTGTAAAATATAATTCAACTCACAATATTACATGCCTAAAGCCATTAAGTGATTCACTGTTGTCATTATCAGTAGTAAAAATAGAGTGTAATAACCAGTCCAATGAGGAAAAGAGGAGTTTAGCATGTTGGCTACTATTTTCAGGCAAGGGAATAGTAACTCACGTCTGGACATTTAAGATAGAAACTGGCATGGGCCAAACATCTCATACCATCTGATAAAGGCTGGGTATAAGGGGGTACCCCTGAAAAGTCAGGGACCCCGAAGATGGCTCCTACTGGATCTTTTTGTTTCATTTTGGCCACTCCTGTATTTGCAACCATTTTTGCATTTGGATGCATTTGATAAAGTAAAAATTGATTTTACATTTGGCTGTTCTAATAAAAGCAATTGGCTATTACTGTAAAATTAACACAGCAAAATTAGACAGTGCTAAAAACATATTGTGATAACATGTTCCTGTCCAAACCAATAATTCAGACTCCCTATTCCACTATCTTCCAGATGTGCACACTAAATTAAGCTCAGGAGGAAAAATCTTTGGGAACCAAAAAGCTTAAGCCTTTGTTGTTGGGCCCTCAACTCTCCTATCTCTCTTAATATTAGAACTGAGTACAGTAAACTTTTTCATTCCTTACCCTGGCCTTGTTTTTTTTTTTTTATGTTGAATTATGTTATTTTTTTTTATTGAGCAGTATGCATTTACAATTGGATATCATTGTATAACATTAAAGAGAAAGATAGAATTATTATATCTGCATTTCAGATGCCAATGGTACCTCCTGTGGACCAAATGGGACCCTGGCCTTGTTTTAATCTTTTTTTTTAGGATGCTTTAATGAAAATGAGGCTCCTTAGTAACTAGCGATAAAAGAAGCTTTCCTTTTGTTTTGTTAACCTTTTATTATAATATAAATAGAAATGTTAATTACAACTATATGAATTCATTTGCCTGCTTTATCATTAGTAAATTGCTTGTCCAGCTGCAAAAAATAATAATTGTAATAACATTTTGCTTGTTGGCAGTGTTTTCCTAAAAATAAGTGTTACAGACTTGGCTAAAGATCAAGACTTCAAACTGTTCTTAGGAATATGTGGTAGTTTTTGTTTTTTTTTATACTCAATGCATATGCATATATAATCTACTGCTTGCTAACATAAACATAAAAAGACCTGCTGAGACTGACAGCAGAGGACACTTGCAACTGAAGGAGTGTCTGTGTCCTTCATTCACCTTCACTGATGCCAATGCCCTCATTTCCTATAGGAACCTCTGTCACCCCAAATGTTGGAGCTGGTCTCCTGCAAGAAACATTTTCAAGAGAATGAAAATGTTATTGGCTCCCTGAAGATGTTAGGACCTCTCTCGACTAATGTAAAAACAATAGCCCTAGACGCCATATTAAATTAACACCTTTGAATATGAGACAAATAATTAGAAATCAAAGTGTGATCTTGTTGGTAATTCAAAATGTTAGGAAGAATAGCTACATCACAAGAGAAGTTTCAACAAATATTTAATGAATCTTTCCTACCTGCAAACCACTGTGGGAAAAGAGGGTGTGTAAGAAATAAATTTTGCCTTCAAGGATCTCCTAATGTAGTGGGCCAAATAACATTATCAAAAATATTTATGTGTGTAGTTGTGGCTTGAATTGTGTTCCTCTAAAGATATACTGACCCCCAGTATTCAGAACATTACATTTTTTGGAAATAGAGTAGTTGCAGATACAATTAAGATAAGGTTATTCTTAAGTAAGTCGGATTCTAAATCCAGTATGAGAAGAAGAAACAGACACAGGAAGGGAAAACATCATATGACAAGAGACAAAGACTGGATTAATATAGCAGCAAGCCGAGAAATTCCTATGACTGATTGCTACCATCAGACCTTAAGAAAGGCGAACCCTTACAGGATTCAGAGGCAGTATGATCTGCTGTCACCTTCATTTTGGGCTTCCAGCCTCCCAAATTGTGAAATGATAAATATTTGTTGTGTCAAGCCATATAGTTTGTGATACTCGGTTATGGCAGTCCGTAACAACTAACGCGTTATAAGCAAAATGACGTAACAGAAATAATTTCCAGCTGATGTGCTCAGTATACTTGGAGGACATGAGCTAATAGTAGGATGATTTTGTTATATAGTCATGGCAAGAAGCAAAGGCTTTACATTTTGGTCTTTCATGTCAACCATTATATAAAGGGTTTTAATTTAACCCACAACCAGAGCAGCCCCTTTGGAAAATAAATGTCATCCACTTTCATGCCTCGAACTCAATATCAATTTTGCCTACTGTCAATTTGTAGACAAAAGAAAAATTCTATGGTACTAACTGCTTGTTAGAAATGTACTCTGAAAAACCACTGAGCTGACAGCTGCAGAGGCTGGAAGTCAGCAAAAAGAAATACAAAACAGTTTTGTTGAGAAGCTGTCATGCAGCCAAATTACATAGCAAGGTTACCCCTCCCCCACCCCTCCCCACCCCCAATGTTGCAAGTTGCTGCAGGAACCGGAGATAAGTTGGAACACTTGACCTTCAACTCTGCAGAAGACTTTCTAGGGTAGAACTAAAACCTTATAAGCTTCAAGTCTTGTGCTATTTCTACAAGTAATGCCTGACTCTACAGAATAAGAGATCACCTTTTATATATATTAAAGTTTTTCCTTTTTCATTAATCAGAATGTAAAAAATTATTTTTTATCTTTGCTATTGAACTATCTCCTTCTGTGCACTTCAGTACACCTGCATAAACTATACATAACTGAAACCTGAATATCTGAAGTGCAGGTCCAGAGCTCATGAAAAATCTGACGCATACTTTCTGGTTTAAAGCCTCTGCTCTCAATAATCCTTTTATTTCTCTATGAATTGCTACACAGCAGTGATTTTTTTCCCCATCAATAGTAATGAAGTCTGGAAAAACCATTTCACACACCCTTTATTTCTTTCAAGCAGTAGAAATGTGTGGCAGTTACCTATTTGCTTCTAGTTCCTTTATATTACAACTCTAAATGGGGTAGGAAGTCAGCTTCAAGGAGACCTTAGTGGTCAATAGCTAGTTAAAATCTCAGTCTACCAAAATGGACATGATAGTACGGGGAAACGCGGTTTGGAATTATTGGTAATGCTTCTGACCTTATATTATGAAGTTTCATAGTGATGCCTCTATGTTCTATATGATTACTTGCATTGCGTAGCAAGATTTCTCCAGCTGTAAATAAACTCTCAAATTTTCAGTGATTATTTGAAGGATAGTGAGGAGGCAGATGCTCCTTTTCAAACATATCAATCTCAAATTTGGGGTTCAAATCAAAATGACAGACGACGTGATTTCCATCCTTAATCAGTCATTAACCAGTTCCGTTTTTCGAACACTGGAGAGGGTCGCCCGATCATGGAGTAAATTATTTGAAATTGCAAGAGTCGTTAAGCAGAGGTGCACTTCGGGATCACTGGGGCAGCCTCCTAAGTGAACAAGGGCGCTCACTACACAAGTTCTGTCCGAGTTCCAAGGTACAGGAACCAGGAGTCTTCCTCCTCAACCCTCAGTCCACTAAAGCAGTGTGCTGTTCCTCTCAACCTTCGAGGGAAGTGTCTTCCGCCTCGGTGCCCGCCCCAGCTTTACTTCCTGCTTCCGTTCGGCTAGCGCTGCAAGTCTGGTCCCTAAGCGGCAAGCGCTGCCAAGCAATGGGGCGGCCCCAGACGCAGGCCACACCCCCAGGACCCGCCCACGACGCCACGCCCCAATGGTGCGGCGCCGGCTGCGGACGGGGGGCGGGGCTGAGGGCGGGGGAACCGCAGGATGAGGAGTGGGGGCGGGACCTGGCGGGGCGCGGTGAGGGGCGGGGACTCGGAAGGGCCGCCGACTTTTGCTCGGGTTGGCTCGGCCTTGGAAGCTGGGTACCCGCGAGAGGATCGTTCCCGACCGCCCGGGTTCCCGCCGCCGGGGGCCTGGCGCTCCCCTCGACCGCCGGGCGCCGGCAGCCGCAGTCGCCGGCCGAACATGGCGCCGTGGACGTTCTGGCGCTGCTGCCAGCGCGGCGTCGGCTGGGTGCCGGTGCTCTTCATCACCTTTGTGGTCGCCTGGTCCTACTACGCGTACGTGGTGGAGCTGTGCGTGTGTGAGTACCGGGCGGCGGGCGGCGGAACTGCAGCGGGACCACACGGGCCTGCTCCGCGGAGGCGCCCAGGCCGCGGCGTCCGAGGCTTGGTCACCGCCGCGCGGCCGCCAGGGCTCGGGTCCTCGCTGGGTCGTGGCTTCGCAGCCCGTGTCTGGGTGGAGGGAGGAAGTAATGGAGGCCCGGGGCGCGGTCCCCTGGCAGGTGCCTGGTTCTTTTGAAAAGGAAGGTTTGCGGAGGGGGCTCTTGAAGCCGGAGCCGTCGAGCCCCGTAGAAGTTGTGTCTGTCCTTTTTGCTTGTGCCAGTGTTTTAGAAGAAAGAAACCTGTTCCTCCTAGATTGTTTTTTGTCTAAACAGCAAGAGGAGAAGAAAAACGTGCTGCCCAGAGAGCCGGCTGCAGGGCTGGGGGGAGGCAGGTGGACTTTTATATGTATCCTCCCGGAAGGCAGCTGAGCCAAAGTCAGGTGAATGCCAGCTTCTGATTGTTGGTGAAACTTGGCCCGTTTTGAAGTTCATTTATTTTCACTTCTGAACGCAGTAACTCCTACAAAATAACGTTTTAAGACAGAGCTAGTGAGGAGATATATATCCAGTTTTCTTTTCCTTGACAATTTATTGTGGAGATTCATCTTTTATTCTCAGATTTTGTGGTCTACTTTTATTTTTGTTACCGCCAGAGATTTCTCCCTGTTTCCCTGAAGGAAGGAAGTAACATTGCAGTACTCTTCAGGATTGAAGATACTGGTTTGGATAGATTGCCGTTAAGATGGAAGGAAACTGGTTGTCATTCAGAACGTTTAGGGACTTCTATGTTTTTGTGATCGATTGTTCTAAATTGTTTATAGACCTTGAAGATACAGCAGTTTTAGATATAGTGGCCCTCTGTGGGTTGTTCTGTTTATATCTACCGTTTGTATCAATTCTTCCGAAAAATTTAGGACCAAATGGTAAGTAAGGTTTGTAAGAGCAATCCTGTGGTATCCCACAGGATTGATACAATCTTGGTTTCCAGACTCAGTCCAGAGTTACCTAAAGGACTGCTGTTATTTATTCCTTAAGAAAAAAGAGAACTCTGCAAGATACATACTAATTATATGGATTTAAAAAAAAAAAAAAACCTATAGCACCCATTCACTTGAAAGTGGAAGAATTAAGATTTTTTCCAGTTATGGCTCTATATTAGTTACAGCTCTCAAATAAGTACATAGTTAAAACCAAGTCCTTCAATGGAAGATAATTCTTTTTGGCCCAGAAGATTTGAGGAGGGTAGGTTTTTAAATAACTATTACCAACTTTAAGGACATTGTTTTGTACTTATTGAACAGTTTTAAGGAAAATAATCCTTACAAGTAGACACATAATAAATTGGTTGTATAAACATTTCTAAGTAATTATCTGTCTCATCCTTTTAGAAATCAAAATGTTTGCCAGAAATAATGGTTAAATCAAAGTTGATTAGATTTAGGCATTTCTTGATGAATAAATAAGTTTCATGTTGAAACTTACCATATTTACTATAAAGTGATCAAAATTTTAAAAGTTACAGAAAGCTAATTTAATTCCCATCTAATAATGGTTTTGAAGTAAAATCTCTGAAGGAAGACTAAAAATGTGCATTATGTTAAAATTACACAGCCTATCTATAGAGAGATACTTTTCATCAAAAAGTGATATCAGACGGGAAGGGAAATGAGTATGAATTGAGAAGTACTGTGTGCTATTCTGGATGAGGTATATTTCATTCATTATCTCCTTTAATTCTCTCAATATCTGCACTAGGCTTCTCTGCAGATGTAGGAAATGGAGCTGAGCAAATAGTTCTTTGGTTAGGTAACACAGTTGTTCACTTGTTGACTGACTATTGAAATATGACTCAACCTTTCCACTCTGTATATAACTTTCAGAGAGCCCCTGAGGTCAGTGGAACTGTAATTGTTTAGTTCATAATGGGGAGGGGTGGGAGGAATAAGTGGTTGCCCTTTTAGAAGATCATTTCAATTAGAGCTCCAGCTATGCAATAGTTAAGATCCAATGTAGAATCCTAAAGTACTCAATGGTAAAAGATCTTATAGAGTCTATATTTAATACTTCCAAATTATTTGAGTTTAGGGAGACCTTTGGAAGGTCTGCAGTTTCACTGCACTATGTAGTTGAACATTAGTTCTTACCAACTCTTATCAGAACTATTCTTTAACTTATTTATATATATTTATGTTTTCACAAGTATAAACTCACCCAAATATATTGATTTATAACTATGGACACTTAAAAGTGTTGTCTTTATAATTTTTAAAAAATTTCTTGTACCTAAGACCTTGATAAGAATTGCCAAATTGCTCTTTAAAAATATTTCATTACACTCCAGACACAGTATGAGATTTCCTCTTTCTCTTCTTTCTCTTTCTCCAAACTCTTTTTAGCATTTTTAAAAAACATTTATTTATTTATTCGTACAGAGCTGGGGTACAGGCCAGAGATGTGGAGGGTGAGAGGATTCACCAGAGACAGAGTGGGGAGCAGAACAGGCAGATCCACGAAGTACACTGCTGAGAGGGGGAGCAGCGGGCCGGTCAGGAGAGGTCTGCCGTGCCATGTGGTCACCTCTGGGGCAGGCAGGAATTGAACTCATGCGGAAGTGGCTTAAGTTTCTTAGTGCTGTGCTTTAACCCACTGTGCCACCAGGGAGGGCCCCTTTTCAGCATTTTTATTATCAATCTCTTTTAAGTTGTTGCCAACCTGAACTTCTTTATTTTTCACACTGTAGGTCCATGGTCACATTGATTGAAAAACTGTTGGTGTTTCTGGAATATTTGAAGTTTTTGTTTTGAGAACTACTTATTCATGTTCTTCTTCTCTGATTAAATAAGTTCATATATGCATTCATAATGGTAAATAAAAAATATTTATGCATACAGAACTGGGGTACAGGCCAGAGGTGCATGAGTGATGAGAGGTTTCACCAGAGGCAGAGTGGAGAGCAGAACAGGCCAACCCATGAATCACACTGCTGAGGGGAGCAGCCGGCAGGTCAGGAGAGGTCTGCCATGGCATGTGGATCACCTCCTTGGCTGGGAATTGAACTCATGCTGCAGTGGTTTTAGCTCTCTTAGTGCTGTGCTAATTTAACACTCAGGGAGGGCCCGTCTTTATAATTTTATAGAATTTTTTTTTCTGATATTTTTTATCAAAAAAATGGGAGATGATAACACATATTTACATGTGTTTATTTGATCCTCACAATAATCTCTGTAGTTAAATGATTGGCCCAGGGGTCACGTACATCCAATAGATGGCATAATGCGGATTGGAACTTGAGAGGTTGGCTTCAGAGTCCGTGCTTTTTAAATTAACTACTATGCAAGATTAACCTACCTGGTTGTACAGATCTAGACTCAGGGTAGGTGTCACTCTTACATATGAGCTAATTACAGGAAAGTAATTTTCTCCTAAAAGGTAGCAGCAGAAGATTCCTAAATATTGTGAACAGTAAAAATGCCTTGCTCGGGTCCTCCCTGGAGCAGCAGGTTAAAGCACTACACTGAGAAGCTAAAGTCACTGCAGCATGAGTTTGATCCCCTCCCCAGAGGTGACCTACCTGGTGCAGCAGTCCTCTCCTGACCTGCCCGCTGCTCCCCTCAGCAGTGTATTTCATGGATCTTCCTGTTCTGCTCCCCACTCTGTCTCTGGAGATGCCTCTCACTGCTGCTGCACCTCTGGCCTGTACCCCAGATCTGTATGCGTAAATAAGTAAATCTTTAAAAAAAAAAAAATACCTTGCTCACAGTGAACATTTGAAAAGAAATTGCTTGAGTCCTCTATAACTTCCTAATTTTGTAACTCCATAGTCTCTGTCTCTCTCTCTCTCTCTTACACATATACACACAGTAATTCCCATTACTGGGAGTAGTAACACTGAGAACAAAATTGAGTAAGAAGTGATATATCCAAATGACCATCTAAGAAAGTCATCTCACAGAGACGATAAGCGGAAAAGTAAAGTTAGAATTATTAGCTACACTGGCCCTTGATTTTAAATTAAAATGAAATTCTCCTTCAGTTTCTCCCAAGACTGATAATTAAACATTTTAATTTCATTGTGGATGAACTGATTAACTTTTACATTTTGGTCAATTATTTGGAATTAATAAGGAATAAAATTCCTTATTCAGGTGATTTGGTGCTATTGGTGGTAGGCATGTATCTCTTGGACATATAGTCTTAGAATTTAGATTTCTTAAGATGTTCCACATTAGTGTGTTTATTTTATGTCTGAGAAAACTGATACCTGAAAGAGTGGTTTGGTTTGCCAAAGATGGAAACCTTTCACCTTCACAAAAAAATATGTAGAGTAGAAGTGTAATCCGCAATCTTAACTGTAATTTGTTACTTACAAATTTGTGTCTTCATTGTTTCTTCAAATTTAGAATGAGACAAGATAGTTCAAACACTGTCAGCATTTTTATTCAAGATTGATTTCCAAGGACCCTGCTTTTGATATTGAATTTTTGCTTTTTGGTTGTTTTCTGTTTCAGTTTTTGTCTTTTATTTTGTATTTAGTTCTTTTTCTTGTTTCTTAATGTGGTAGCTGAAATCATTGATTTGAGCCTTTTTTTAGTTTAGCCTATAAATTTATCCCTAAATACTATATCTGTATTTACATCCCATCAACTTTGGTATGTTGTTATTTTCATTTTCAGTCAATTAAAAATATTCTTTAATTTCATTTATTTTTATTTTT